CTCTTGGACAATAAACCCGTCAATAGAAGATTGTAAAAGTGCAACAGCCCACTAGACCGGTTATCTCAACAACGCATGGTTCGGGTCTAATCTAGAGTTCATACTTCCACCCCTGATACAAATTTCCGATTGCCCACAATGTTAGTTTTGCAGTTAAACTCAAATAATCTTCTTGTCGAAACATAAATACTACTCATATGTCTGCTTAAAAACGCCAATCGGACAAACTTAAATGAGGGTTCCAATGAGAGATTCAGTTGAGTCTCATGTCAAAACCAAGTTAAAGGATGTATCTTTGTTTCTACTACACTGTTTACATCACCAATAAGCAGCTTCATTTGTCAACCTTATTATTTTGGTACAGGCATCATGAAAGCAAATTTTGGCCAATACAAATGTGAGGATCTAGTAGGGTTCAAATGACGTTTCGTCCCGTAGGTGAAGTTAACCTATGTTGAAAAGCCAAGAAACACTGTTAAAACGGTTTCATCTTTGTTGTGAACCGTCAGTAGCACACATCATAAATCTTCAGGTAAGGCTTCAATCCGTGACCATCCGGCTTGTAGTGGTTTGAATACTTAACCGTTAGGCTACCAGCGACCGGTCAAAATTTCGAATAACGCGCACCCAGAATATAGCATTACTCATCCCTCAATCATGGTAACAAAAGCACATGGTGGCGCACTGCCTGGCTCCTCGAGTGACGACCTCTCGATTGGAGGCATCACTTTGAAAACTATTTCCCCTCCAAACTACTTATAGATTTTTGGTAGTATGAAGAGATTTGGTAATTTCCTCTACTCAGTGAAGCCAATCACTCTAGGCGGCTTCGATGACAAGACTGCCTGGCTCCTCGAGTGACGACCTCTCGATTGGAGGCATCACTTTGAAAACTATTCCCCCTCCAAACTACTTATAGATTTTTGGTAGTATGAATAGATTTGGTAATTTCCTCTACTCAGTGAAGCCAATCACTCTAGGCGGCTTCGATGACAAGACGAAATCTCAATTTAAAGTACAATTGGTTGCACAGTACAACGGAGTTGAAACTTACCAAACTCGTCGATTTTCCTGGCTACAGTATAAAAATGGGCTTTATTCTCAAACGTCCTTACTTGGATTAGGATTGATCCAGTATTCTACACTACCAATGATACTTTTTGCCACGAGGTGCATGGTCTCCACATGATGTAACAGACTGATGAACTCGTCATCATATTCCGTCTTTTCCGAACCACCAAAGGCTTCATTTGATGCCTGATACATCCACAAACAAAGATTTGACTTACCTGAACTATTCTGTTGAAGGTGAGTTGCACGTTGTCCAGAACTCGTTGGAGCGACATTGCGTGTTCGAAAGCACTGTGGGAAGCCGGTCAGTTTTTATTTAGTGACCACCAGACGAACAACGATACAGATAGTGACATTTTGGGTAGAGCGACTTCTGATTGGTCCGAGTATATCCCAATGGTACGGCGCGCGCAACATACTTGCTCATTGGACAAAGCGGTTGGGTTGGTAAATGGAGTTGATCACTCTCTCTTCAGATTTAGGTGTCCTTCTAGGAGGGGAGTTATTGATGCGGTTTATTAGCAAAGCAATTTGGGATTTCCCCATGTGTACTGTAAACAACTGGTAAAATATTGTTGCGGAAATATCCAACGATCACAATTACTCATGTTGCTACACAGATGGAAAATAGGATCGAAACAATACTGGTCCGCGTAGCTTTCGAGAAATCAATTCCATTGTGCGAATGCTAAGCGGCCAAGCAATGGACTTTTAAAACTCCATTGTTCTGTCCAAGGATTTTAGTGTCAGACGCAAGCTGTTTATTACGCGTGCCCAAATGTAGAAGGTGCAATCGGCAACCATCGTATGAACGGTTGACAATCTGATGCTCAGCAGGAAGGAGGCAAGCGGTGT